CAGTTGAACTAGCAGATGCTCAAATAGCAGAATAAAGAACACAATTCACTGGGAATATAAACATGAACATTAAATTGGACTAGTCTGCAGATAACACTGGAAATATCACATAGAATCACTTGATTTGTGGTGGCATTACAATCCAAAAGAGAGGGGCTGAAAGAACTGGATGAGAAAGCAGAGCCATGTATTGCTTGTTTGCAGTTGTATGTACAATGCCCCCCCCCCCAATCAAAACCTTGTCACTGCATGCTTGGTAAGACTCCATTAAGATTTATTCATGTTCCCACATTCAAGGTGCTGTGCTACATCACTGGGGGTTGCGGTGAGGTAAAAGAATAAGTAGTCATTGGCGTCTCTCAAAAATGCCATACTCAGCCATTTTTAAGTCCAGGCTTGAGAGTATAGAACTCAAAATACTAGAACTTGAGGGCAAACAGAAATAGTACTGTACACAGAGGGTGATAAAATGTGGAATTTGTTGCCAGAGGATGTAGTGGTGGCCACAGGAATAAACAGCATTAAAAAGGGATCATGGAGGATAAGTCTATCAATGGCTAATAGCCATGGTGACGGAGGGGAACCTCCACATTCAGAGGCACTAAACCTCTGAATCCCAGAGCCAAGAGGTAACATCAGGGGAAGGCCTTGGCCTCTATGTATCCCAGAGTGTTACCTAAATTAGCAGTCTCCTATTTAACAGGGGAACTTTAATTGGAGACACAGCAAGAGGGGGTAACTGGGATCTCCACCAATGTATACCAGGATATTCCCTTGAGATAACTCTTTAAATAAGCTAGGCTGAAGTTCAACTGGAAAGGTGTTTTTATTATAAAAGAATAAAAGAGCAAACCATACAAACAAAGCACACAGAAAAACACAGAAGCTAGCTAAGAGGAAATAAAGGGAGAAGGGGGAGATAGTGATTTTGAAGAGATAATGTATTTACCAGTCTAGAAGCTTGAGGTCTGTGGAAGGCAGTGGAACAGCCAGTGTTTCACGAAGAGGAGGAGAGGACCGAGTGGGGGTGTGATATTTAGCTCTAACACACACACACACACACACAGCTGGCTGTGTACTCCAGATATAGGACAAAACGCTGCCTGAGGGCAGGATGATGTGCTTTTCCCCCAAACAACACTTTGATTACTTTTCTGGGGATGAACAAGGATCTTGATGAGACCACCAAGGGCTGAACTATAGGTGTGATTGTTCCTTGATCACCCTCAAATACAGGATGGGAGAAACCACCAGGTTGTATGGATATTGCCTAATTAGGGTGAATGGATAAGGGGGAAGCATGACTGGATGTGGATGAGGTTAATCCAAGTTGAGGTCATGTTTTCTTGGGAGACCCATTGTTGTCAGTTATGCATCTCTTTGGGGTGGGGAGGAGGGTCATTAACAAGTCGGCTGTTCTGACTCACCTTCCAAAATATCTTCCCAGGCCCTTACCTGGCCGGCATCCATTTTGTTTGTGCTTCACTGTCAAGCCAGTCGGTGCCCTGCATATACAGTTTTGGGGTGATATTAAAGAAGGGTGTATCTCTCTCTCTCTCTTGTAGCATTAAACTGCCCATCTGCAGGAGGAGGGGTCTGACTGCTAACAAGGAGTGGGCTGGGGGAGAGGAAGAGGGTCGCACTTTCCAGCATCTTTAATTTCCCTGATGTCTGAACCAAAGAAATGAATCAGGTTTGGGGAGGAACCAGATCCTATTGCTTTCCCAGCACCTATTTAAAAAGGTATGTGAAAGAGAACCCTCATTTAGTCTCTCGTTTTTATCCCACCTTCTTCCAGGCTAAGGACAGCATCCACGGCTCAGTAGAGGGAGGGGAGAATCATGAGCACAGTAGCAATGTCAGTGGGAAGTCAGAGAGGAGGGACTCTCCGCTGCAGATGCCAGCATAGCAGAGAGGACTATGCATGTTACTCTGAGCTCTTGGAGGACGCGTAGAACAAAAATGTCACTGTTCTGTGACCCCACGACACGAATCACCCAACGTCCCATTTCCTGTCCCTTCTGCTGTTTCCTTCTCCTGCTTTCTGTCCAAGAGTTTCCCAGTGAAATCCACAAGACCCTTCGCCAACTCCTTGCCCAAAGATACAAAAGGAGACAGAGGACTTCATGGCCTCAGCGTACCGTAGCAGAAGGCATTTGCTCACTCTGCGATCTCTTAGCAAAACAGGTCTTTGCGAAGTGACAATAAATGATTACTGCTTTATTTGCCTAGTAAATGCAAGACTGAAGACCTTCAAAGAACTGGTCCTGGCAACAGGCTCTTCACCAGCTCAAGATGTCACTCCAATACTAAATGTTGCATAAAAACTTACCTCAAGGTATTTGCATAAAAACTTACATCAAGGAAGTCAGCTTGTACCTCTTTATGCTTCCTGCTTCCAAGGCAGGGTTGGTGCTAATCATGTTTTCTGTCAGAAGTCACCTCCACAGGGGTGCAGGACTTTTACTGAGTCCTCCTCCCGCCACAGACACTCACATTGCCTCCCCTACTGACCTGGGGTGGTGATGTCTGGCCCCGGGATATGATTTTCAGAGGGGAGACAGTCTGTAGCGGGGGGGGGGGGAGTTCACTTATGAGAGTGCCACTTTGCTCACACTGTATAGCTTTTATTTAGGGCAGCTTCTGAGATCTGATCATTATCAGGTATCTATAACCTCTCTGGGAAAAACATGGTATCATATTATATTAGCATTACTCATAGTTTACTGTCAGTAAATTTTGAATCTGCTAACTTACTAAACACAATTTGAAACCAAAACCTACATTGTGTATTCCTGTAAAACAGCAGTTCTGATAACAGAAATTGATGCTTCCAACTAGGACTAAGCAGTTGTGAGAGATAAACTTCTGCCAACTGGTAAAAAAACAAGGTTTCTGCTGAGGAAAATCAAATAATTTGTTGTCTGTCTCTGTTTATCAGGGCTAGCAGTGCCAACTCCCAGGCAGTATTAAGGGAGGAGGCGAGATAGGCAGCAATTCTGCTGGTTTGCAAACAGATCTTGTCTATTTCCCTAGCCAGACAGAAGGAAAACACACTGATCTTCAGGTATACTGTTCACAAAGTGTGTGCCCTGTATTAGGCAATCAAATCAGATATTTGCAGTGATATTCAAGGATTCAGAAAGAGGCCAAGGATGACAATAATGGGCTGAATCCATAGGTACTCTTCCATGGTTAGAAAGTGCTTCTGCTCACACAATAGGGAGCTACACGTCTGCAGATTTTCCATTCAAGCTGTGGCCCACCCCTAGCCTGAGGGTGGCAGTGCATGTGGCTACAGACGAGGGAAGTGAGCAATGTTCCCTCTAGGCCTACTTGCAGTTTTTTGGGTGCTCTTGCCAGGATACTAACATAACATATGTGGCAGCATAACATCACAGCATGGCAGCGCAATCCCAACACCTGCACACTTTTTAAAATTTTGATACTTGTTCTCCAGGTTGTTGGCAGCCCCATTCTCTGGCTGCATGTTGTGTGCATTTAGGACCTAGAAGTGACAGAGTCTTTAGAAAATGCGGAGAGTGCCCTGCATGCATGCTTCCTCTCTGTGTAAAATGAAGAAGAGGAGATTGGATATATACCCCGCCCTTCACTACCCAAAGGAGTCTCAGGGTGCGTTCAGACGGGACGTTTCAGCCGGCATAAACTGTACCGGTTGAAACCGGTGCAGTTTATGCCGGCTGAAACGCGATTACACTTACCTCCTGTTTGTGGAGCCCATCGCTGTATGCCCGTTCACACACAGTGAGCATCGGCATTTTTTAAAAAAAACACAGTTTGTGCATGCGCATAGGCAGCCATCCACAGAATGGCGATTTTCACGCATGCGCAATCTTGCAAAGTTGCCTCCCTGAGGTCCCGGACTCCTCTAAAAGTTAAACTAAGGACCTTTTCTTTTCTTTTTTAAACAAACGCCGGGGCAAAGCTTCGCCCAAGTGCATATCGCCAACCTAAAAAAAAAATGGTGGGCGAAAATCGGAAGCCTCGGGCTTCCGAACGGAAGTGGCTCTACAACGTTGGAGAGCGATCAGACGGGGGGTAAAGCGATTACAACCGTTGCACTCAGGATACCACCACTTGGGGACCTAGTGGCAGATAACAACGGTTTAAAGCTCTTTGCAACGGTTAGGGACGGAAGGCAGATGTTCGCCGTGTGAACGCCGGTAAGTACACCGATTCCAACCGGCACCTATACCGTTGCAAATGCCCCATCTGAACGCACCCTCAGAGCAGCCTACAAACTCCTTTCCCTTCCCCTCCCCACAACAGACACCCTGTGAGGTAGGCGGGGCTGAGAGAGCTCTGACAGAAACTGCTCTTTTTCAAGAACACCTCTAATAGAACTACAGCTTGCCCAAGGTCATCCAGCAGCTGCAAGTGGAGGAGTGGGGAATCAAACCCGGTTCTCCCAGATTAGAGTCTGCGCACTTAACCACCACACCAAACTGGCATTTACAGCCAAAGCTGTAACAGAGGAAGTGCACATTGGTTAAGACTTGCCTTTATAAAATTCTCCCTGGTGTCCAACCCTAAGGATACAAACTCCCAACAGGGACATCTATTCCACTGCCCAAACTAGGGATGCAAAGACAATGTCAGTAAGGAAGGAAGAGGGTATCCATACTTAAATGGGTCTCCCGTCCCTGTGCTGGCCAGAGATTCAGAAATCATTTTTATTGCGTCCCAGTATGCTCCCCGATATGGGGCTACTGGGTTAGTAGCTTAACTCTTGAATGCCCTGCTTAGGAGAACAGAAGCAAAAAATTGTGCATTGCACACAATATTTAGGAGGTATGATGATTTCAGAAAGTTTGAGAAATACTGCACTACAAACATACCATCACACAGAAGCAAAATGTCATTGTTTTTACCCTTTACTAACTATTAAAAAAGACACAGGTAGACATGCTGGCAAAGCAGATTTCATTTCATTATTTATAAAGAAATTGGGTTTTAAAAAACAGGTTCCCAAATGTATTACATTCCTTGTTACCTGCAGGATACCAGAATGCTAAGAGAGGAGTGTGTTTGTTTGGGTTCATTGTTTCTATGCACGCGCAAAAAGCATTGAATGGAAGTTGGAAAATGGGCTTTATGTTTTTCTGCTTTGCCTGTCAGCACCTCTCGTGCTTGAGAATGGACTACACACCCTCCAGAGCAATCAGAGCTGACACATTTCTCTTCCTTAAAATGTTTGAAGGTCTTGAGATGTTAAAATAGTGAAGCAGTTATATAATAGCCAATCAAATAAAACCAGATATACTGTCAGACTGAAATAGGCATGTTTGGCAGTCTTCTTCCTAACCACTTACAAAGCCACATAAAATAAGTCAAGTCAACTGAACATTTCTACCGATCTGTACACAGTGCAAATACAATCAGTAGTTTAGAATATAAGATATCATGTCTGCCTTTGGGATCATTCCTAAAAACAGTTTTATTAATTTAAAAAATCATGTTCTGTACAGTGTTCTATTTCATATGTGAAAATAGTAGTCTTTTATAATCTGTCTGCATTGGAGGCCACATGAAGCTGACACTGAAGCATGCATTATGCGCAAACCCGTCTGGCCTCATGTATGCATTGGTTCCTGCCTTCTCAATCCTCCCTTGTGCAAGAAAGGGGGAAGGCAGGAGCAAAGTATGCACACAAAGCCAGAAACAAGCCAGGTTAGTGCACAGTGTTGGCTTCACCTGCTGTCCAAATGCATCCGTCGTCAGCTGCTTTTAAAAGCTATTACTTTTTAGTTTACATATCTGGGTGTGGTAAGACACAACTACAGATCTTAACCTGTATTTAATCTGCACAGAAATCAATATGGGCTAATAACTCCCTATGCTGGCTTGTAGGGTATAGAGCTTTACATTTGGGGCACTCCAGGAAACTTTCGTCGAGAAGATTTGAATATTTCGGTGAAGAATGTTCGTCTTGAATTACCAGCTTGTCTTCAAAAGCAGTCTGGAAACTGTGCGGGCCTTCTACGCACGCATGTTCTGGGAGCTTCTGAAATATATTACATGAGCAAATGAATATTAATTTATAATCAAGGAGATTATATTGACAGTACTTCTTTATGGGAGATGAAAGCTAGACACACAACAGTGAGACGAACTACTTGCCAAGAACAGGACATCACTTTTCACCTCCTTCTATTCAAGAAGATAGTTTCAGAGGGTAGCCATGTTGGTCTGCAGTAGAACAGATAGATTTGAATCTCGTAGCACCTTAAGAGACCAACAAGATCTTTGGAGTATGAGCTTTCAAAAGTCATCTGATGAAGGGAGCTCTAACTCTTGAAAGCTCATCAACCCCCCCCCCAATCTTGCTGGTCTCAAAGGTGCTGCTAGAGTTGAATCCTGCTGCTCTGTTCAAGGAACAGAAGTGTGCTTTTTTCCAAGCCGCACCCTTAAACTTAACTTCTGTAAAGGACGAACACTAAAGAGGTCAGCCAAGGATTTCCCAGAAAAATCTATGTTGTGACAAGTAACTTGAATGAGGACCTTGAGGGGGCACCGCATAGGTTTTTGTGTGGGAGTGCCAGACATAAGGGAAAACAAGTGGGAAGCAGCAAAGATGTGTAAAGGGAGCAGAACACTTTGAAACAGATCAGGGAGGCAGAACGGAAGGAGCAAAAGTAATAGCAGCATATCAGGGCACAGTATGGCATCAAGCAACGGCAGAAATAACAAGGTCTATAGTAAAATGCAGCATAAAAATCACCTGCCTTATAGGCATCTCAGATTCAGCTACATTACAATGCTGAGCCACAGTAACAGGCTTATAGTTCACAGTTTCTTGATGAAAACGACAACTATAGAGAAAAATTAAAACCAAGGGGAGGATCCTAATGGTGTTTTCCACTTGCAGAAGACACTTCTGCTGGCAGAAAAGGGAAGCAGGTCACCAATTGCCCCTTCTCACTGCAGATCTCAACACTGATCCTGGGAGTCCACTGATCCGTTAAGGGATATCATTTCAGCAGGCTGCCATGGGAGGAAGGACAGCTCACTTACACAAGCCCCTTTCTATCGGCATTGCAAGTACGAGTAGGATCTACCTCCAAAACACTGAGAACACGACAGATGGAGAGTCTGCTAGCCGCATGTAGAAGGAAACCTAAGCGAAGCCTCCATTGACAGACGCTCCAGTTCCTGGCATCTTTGCTATCTGCTTTAAAAAGCAACAAGAAGAACCTTCCTTTTCTTAATGCTAAAAGGAATGAGGGGCCAATCTGCAAGCCAGGCTAGGTAAACATTGCCAACAAAACAGCTTAAGCTCTTCCGTGATTAAAGCAATGGCACAGGTGGTATTTTATACCTTTTTAAAGTGGACTTTTTGGCAGACAGGCTGATCAGTACGGATGGATGGGGATATTGATTAGAGGGACAGCAGCTGCATGAAATGGTAGGATCCAGTGGAGACCCTGTTGCACTTGGGACCCTAAGCTCCCATAGGTTGATGTTCTAAAACTGAAAAGCAAAGGTTCCATGGTAGGACACACATTCAAGCACGTGGAGGAACCTTATACTGAGCCAGATCACGGGAACATCAAGGCCATTATTGTCCACTCTGATTAGCTGCAGCTTTCCAGGATCTCAGGGAGGGGCCTTTCACATCAGCTACAATGATCATTTTCACTGGAGATGCCAGGGATTGTACCTGGGATCTTCTGCAAGTAAAACAGGTGCTCTACCATTGAATGAGAGCACTTCCCTAAACATTTTGTACTAGAACACAATCAGGTTCGTGTATTCTGTAGCAGAGCACTACATTCTACTGCATATGTGCACAGTCCACAGAACGTCCACCTCTGGACCTGCAGCACCCAGAAAATACTATCAGCTCTAGTTTTTGAGGCAATTAAGGTTTTCACTCCAAGCTGAAGGCAAGATAATGAAAGTAAATCCAGAAATGCTGAGCTTCACTACTCACTGCGGGCTCAAGACGTGAGATCTGCTCTTTTGCTTTGCGCAGCTCCTTAAGAAACTTATGCAACTGATGCTTTAAGTTCTGGCGATCAACTTTTTCATTCTCAAAGTCTGTTGTACATGCCTGGACCTGGCAAGAACCAATGGATGAAAGTGTAGGTTACATGAAAAGGTGTTTTAAATAGCTGATGTTTCATCTGCGTATTTGTTTCTCTAAGTGCATTCAGATCAAAATTTCTGGTTACAGATAGGCCCGCTAAGGAAGATTATATATGTTAAATTTTAATATGTTTTTATATGTTTCTAAAAATCTGTTTTAGTAACTAGTGATAATGGAGGCAAAGACAGATCTACACAAGGATGCCCTGCATTTCAAATCCTGGCTCTATTTAGAACTTGGATATCCGCAAGCCTCCGAATAGTAACAAGCAGTGTTCCCTCTAAGCTGAGTTAGTGTGAGCTAGCTCACAGGTTTTTAGCCTCCATCTCACAGGTTTTTGTCTTAGCTCAGGAAGGACGGTTCCAGAGCAAACTAATTTATGCAGTAGTCAAATCGTCTGCTCACAACTTTAATGCCAGTAGCTCACAAAGTAGCATTTTTGCTCACAAGGCTCTGCAGCTTAGAGGGAACATTGGTAACAAGCCACATTGCTATCAACAGGAACATGCAATACTTTGCTCAACATTAAGAAAAGCAATTCACTTGCTTTTACCAACTGCAACAGAACCTTGCAAATATTAAAATCAGCATTTAATATCATGGCTAGAGGTATTAGTTCAAGAAGCATCAATAAGAACAGCGGTGCATCAATAAAATGGGTACTCCAGAGTAATTTGGTACCTGTTGTTCCAAAGCTGCTATCCTGGTATGTTCCTCTTGCTCCTTTAAGAGAGATCTATGAAGCAATTCAACCTATTGAAGACCGTATAAACAATACCAAAGTATGATAAGAAGCTTCCAAATTATACAACTGTAGACATGAGAAAGCTTCCAATGGGCTGTCTACTTTGGTCCTACCACTGTATTCTGTTATACCCCGCCACCAAAGATCAGTTGAGCACAGAGAACAAATTCCCCCCCCTCTATTTCTATTGCTTCCTCAAATGTTTTTTCACCCATTAAACAAAAGGATCAAAAGCTGTGGACTCAAGCTGGGTGCATATCCAAGTGCAGATGCTTCCTCTCTCTCCACACAGCATTACTTTCAGTGGCATGTACACTTGGATGTGAAAATCAAATTCACATCTCAACATGAGTAGGTATTTGGACAGGAATCGTTTTTCTACCCAATAGCCTCTTTAAAGTACAGGGGGAAAAAAGATTTCTGCTTGCACCCTAGAGGGCAACAGTGCGTATTCTCCTGAGCACAAGGCCCTCAATCCCTTTCCAGTTGGCCACTTGCTTCCTTTCAGGTTAACTCCAACAGGAAAAGGCTTGCATATGCATACATGTGGGTTGTGTGGTGGCAGCATAAGGGCAGCCCACAAGTGGTCTTGGCTGAACATGCTGCCCAGATCCACTAGGAAGGGTACACAGCTGGTACACTGTGGTGGCACTGCTTCTGGCATCCACAGAGGCTACACTGCAAGTTCTATGTGCAGCCCCACCATGGAAGGGCAGGTGTGACCTTTGGAGAGACAGAAGTTTCTCTTCCAAAGGACGATTTTCCTGCATCCCTCCAAGGTCCCGCCCATCTGCACCCCCTCCCCTGACTCTTATTCTCTTTTGATACCAAGCATGTCCATGCACGGGATACACCTTTACTAAGACAGGGGAAAGTATTTGCCACTATATCTTTCCATCTTAAATTAGAATTTTCCTTATGTAGCCTCAATTAACATCTTGAGTGAAAAATTCTTGTTTTCAAGATAGGTAGATTGGATCTTGGACTTCAATAAGTCCTCTTAGAAATAACTCTTCTACCAGTATTCACAAACTCTATTTTGAGTAATGTTAGTGGGATTCTGTCTATGTAATTGTAACCAAGTTGTTGGTACCAGTGTTAACTGTATACAGTTTATCACATGCTTAGCAATGCCACATGGGTTCACAAAGCAGTTAAAGAAATTACTTTTCAGGAGAGAAGGACAATATGGTCACAAAACATTCTTCTGAAAGCATTATTTTAAACAGGAGAATAATTCTACTTTACTTTAGGATACATATTTTGCACATGGTGATTTTAACCACCAGTGCGATATTCTGGGAGAAGGTTTCATTCAATTTAGGTGCTAACCCCACATCTAATATTGCAAGTGAGTTGCTGCAAGTAATAACACAATTGATTTTTTTTTTACACTGTGGGAGCCAGTTACATTAACAGATAATTCCAATCTGGTATAGTCTGTTCATTTGGAAATAGTGGCACCTATCCAGCCATACAGGCTGTCCAGCAGAACGGCATTTCTGCTTGTGGAAGAGAAGGCAGCGATTTCAGCTATTTCCTTCCCCCTTCACTGCAGACTTCCATTTTGCATCCTATGCTGCTCCTGAGAGTCTGCCGATGCTTCCAGGGGGCTCAGTGGGCTGCAGTAGGAAGAGGAAGCAGGAAAGTCCTCCCCTACCATCCATGGATGGTTGAATGCACACCAGTCTCTGGACCTCTTGGTATACTTTTCACTGGAGTTTTTGGTAGTTTTAGTGCTGGGATGTGGCATTATTATTTTGGACACTGCAGTTTTTATGATTTGGGCCCCTTTCTCATTTTAGGGCATATTTTTATGCTGTTAGTCTGATGGCTGGTCTTACTGGTTGTTAGTAGTTTTAATGTTATCAAACTGTGGTTTAAAATTTGAGCTTCTGTCTGTTACCAAGGGTGCGCCAGGCGAAGGTGAAATTTCAGCTTTACAAACAAAGCATATACTTACCTGAGACACAAGAGCTTCTGTCCTTTTCCTTTCTTCTTCAAACTTTTCTCTGTTTAATTTGTTTTCATGTGTAAGTCTCTTTATTAACTCTCCTTTGATGCGGATTTCCTCCTGAAGAGCCCGCATGTTGGCTTGCTGTTCTGACTTCAGTGCATTTAAGTGAATCACCTCTCGCTGGGTTTCGTCATGCTTCATTTTTAATGCACTAAGCTCAGAATCCAGCTGGGCTACAGCAAGTCTTTCTATCTCAAGATCATTTCTGGCTGCTACCAACAGCTCTTCATAATGCATCTGCTGTTCGTCTGGGAGCCCACCACAAGAGAGAGAAATGTGGATTAGAATAACAAAAAAATACATTATTTCTGGGAAGACACTGAGCAAGTCTATGTGATGCACATTAGAAGCACAAAGGGAACAATATCAGAAGCCAGTACCAATATGATCTATTTATATATACACAGTGCTACAATTTAAGAACATCCCCTAACACTATGCTAAAACACAACAGGCTTGCTAGAAGCACTCAAGTAGTGCAATTGTACAGACTACCCTCCTTTAACTGCCTGAGCTCAGTCAGTTCAGTGCCCCTTGAAGCTCCCCACACTATGCCATTATATGAAGAAGAGGAGGGGGGAGGGGGATTGGATTTATACCCCACCCTTCACTCGGAGTCTCAGAGCAGCTCGCAATCTCCTTCCCTTCCTCTCCCCACAACAGACACCCTGTGAGGTAGGTGGGGCTGAGAGAGCTCTTTGAGAACTGCTCTCAAGAGAACTGTGGCTTGCCCAAGGTCCCCCAGCAGCTGCATGTGGAGGAGTGGGGAATCAAAGCTGGTTCTCCCAGATTAGAATCAACACTCCTAACCACTACACCAAACAGGGCACAACCCTGCTGCTATTGAAATCCAGAAGCCAGACTTCTGTTGGTTTTATTGCAGCAGGGCTGCAGTACATGGCAGCAATCTTCCATAAAACTGGGCACCAGCTGAGTACAGTCAGTGACAGAATACCTTGGTGGGGCAGCTGCCAGGGCCCCAGCTTCTGCCAGGCCTCACAGCTACCAACCCTCTGCCTACATTCCTCCTCTGCCTCCCACCCATGTGTGTCCTTTCCCCCTCTGCTCATGAGTACTTAGCCAGTGGTCCTGGCTGAACATGCTGCTCACATCCGCCAGGAAGGGTACACAGGTGGTGCACAGTGGTGGCACTGCTTCTGGCATCCAACGAGGCTGCACTGCCAGTTGCATGTGCAGCCCCACCCTGCCAGGGAAAAATCTGTGGGTGGTGCAGGTGGGCACGGGCAGTGTGTGTGGGGGCTTGTGGAGCACAGGCCAGGGGGCATAGGGATGGGTAGACAGGAATGGAAGCATAAGTGGAAGGCTGGAGGAGAGGGGGCTCTCCTTGGCACTCCCTGCCTGGGCCCCCCCAAAACATGGAACTGGCCCTGTTTGAGAGATACTCTGCCAGCACCTGCACACTCACGTGAGCAGCTCGCGTTGAAATCCAGATTCAGCTACAAAGCTCACCAAGTGCTCTTAAGCAAACCTCCTTCTCTTGCAGCCCAACACTCCACAAGATTGTCGAGAGGCTAAAACACTGCTTATACTGCTTCGAAACCCACAGAGAACAGGCACAGTACTAACCTGCTGCTTATTCGTTGTTTTATTCAAACCAGTTTCATAAATAGTGAAGCAAATGCTATTTATAGATGTTTACTTTGTCCTTCACAATAGGCTACTTTTTTGATTAACAAAAAGTTCTAGTTGAACAAAATTTAAATAGCGCATCTTTTACACTAGCAATGGACACACTGGCAGCACTGCTCTACACCTGCGATTTCCTACAATCTCTTCCTCACCTACCCTATTCTCCATTTTGCCCTGGGCAGTGCCTGACCTGTGAGGCTTTGAATGCCACTTGTGAGCTGCTCCCTTGGCAATTTCATACAGGAAGCAGCTCCAGCTGAGTCCAAACCAGCCGGAATGTTGCCATTTCTTCTGCTGCTGCTGCCAAGTAACCATCACATCAAGAAATTAACAAACACTCCTTTGACAGTTTTGGAGGAGGCACTGTATAACACTAAAGATCATTCTAAAGCAGTGGTTCTCAACCTTCCTAATGCCACGACCCTTTAATACAGTTCCTCATGTTGTGGTGACCCCCAACCATAAAATTATTTTCATTGCTACTTCATTCAGGCGGCCCCTGTGAAAGGGTCATTCGACCCCCAAAGGGGTCGCGACCCACAGGTTGAGAACCGCTGTTCTAAAGGGTCTATTAAAAGTATTTTTATTTGGGATTGATTGACATATATGTCAAAGATAAACCTGATCAACTTAAGACAGTGGGAAGTGACAATGAATTGTACTATCTCTGAAATATTATGGAAGTCAATATTTGCTAGTGGACCTGCAAACTGTTTTTATACAAAGATGAAGGAAAATCTTAATAAGTTGGTATTTTACACATTAAAAAATGTAGTACTACAAGACAACTTTTAATAAATGATGGAACTGAAGTTAATAGATTATTTGCAAATGTGGTGGGCATGTTCAATTGTAAAAAAACCCCCAAAAGTCCCTAGAGAAAATTAGCCTAAACATTAAGAGTATGTTATAGTTTCAGCTAGCAGCCCAAATTAACTCAGGCTCATCAGAGCTTGGGAGCTAAGCAAGGTTGGCTATTGTCAGTTCTTGAACGGAAGACCGCCAAGGAAGGCTGGAGCTGCTGTGTGGAAGGCGGCAAAGGCAAACCACCTCTGCTGGTCTGTTGCCTGGATCACTCCGTGGATGGGGGTCGCCATGAATTGGCTGTGACTCAAGGGCACATTCTTTTTATAGCCTCAACTCCCCCCAAATCCCAAAGTCATTCTTTTAGGCCTTGTTTCTGATTATGGACTATGGTGTTCGATATCATCTTGGCAGCTAAAGTGTTAATTGCAAAAAAAGAAATCTGAGACAAACTTGTCTATTAAACACTGAGTGACTGAAGTCTGGTAGACTGTGAACCCACTGAGACTGAGTTTATTCGCTTGAAAGACAAGAGACTATTAAAAACTTTTTAAAAAAACATGGAAACCTTTTTTGATGTTATGGTGGCAAGGACTAAAGGAATCTATCCTCGCAGGCTGAAGAATGAAGATATGCTTTTCCTACTGTCGTTTGAACACAAAGCTAATCTCTTTCATTTGACGATCTCTGGCCATTCTACAAAGTTCAACAGTTTGAAAAATCAGAAGACTCACAAACTGCTGGTCAGCTGATAAGGGAGCTGAGACCATCTCAGTGAACGAATTGTAACTTGTTAAGATTCCCGCATTTAGCCAGCATTACAAACTGGCCCTCTGGGGAAAGAGGAAGCAAGTGAGCCAGTTAACCAGGTTTGTGTCTGCTTTGTTCATGGGGCCCAAACAGAAGCTTAGTTAAGCCCACTTCCCTTGCACAAGCCATTATGAAATGAAGGAAGAGGTTTGAGTAAACCAGGTGCAAGGTAACAAAAGGGCCAATGGCCTTCCTTATCAAATCTTCCCAGAACTGTTAGTTTTATAGAAGTGTTAGTTCCTGGGAGATGCACACATGCCACGGGAGTAATTTTTTTTATGATGTATGTTTAAAACATCCACACCTAAAAAGCAACTTTTAGGCATCTGCTTCAAAACTCTAACTTGCATGATGGGTACCTTGAGCTACAATGCAATGCAAAGACTGCCATGTTACGTAGTGACAGAGTTTGGTAGCTGCCCAGTGATCACTGAATTTTTCTTCTTCGAGGCAACTGTTTTGCATTACCATGAAAACGTGTCAGAAGTGTGAGAACTAGATCTCAGTTTTATGCTTTGAAACAATATATTACCAACCCCCCCCAAAAAACCCTGACCTGGGAAATCAGCTCAATACAATATACGATTTTGATGAATTCTGTTCAGTTTGAAGGAGAGTCAGCCAATACCTTCGGTCTGGGTTTCTTTGGCTTCCTGCGGGACAACATTTTTGAACTGCTGCTCTAGTGCAAAGATCCTTGCTAAGAGGCCCTGAACATAGGCTTCCCGTTGCTGATCATATATCAGCCACTGGTGGTTTTTCTCCAAAGCCTTTAGAGGGAAAAAGAATGTTAGTCAAACAGCCAACCAGTATCCTTTCCTGTACATTAAATGCATTCCATGTGCAAACAGTCTGGAGGACAGTGTTCATTTTGAGCAGCAACATCTCGCAACTAGGGACAGGCACAAACCGAACCATGAAGCAAAATTTGTGATGAATTTTGCCCTGTTCATAGTTCGTGAAGTCAAGTTTGTGGCAGAGTGCTTGGCACAAACTTTCAACACACTTCGACATTGTTTGTGGAGGTTTGTGAGCAGATACATTCCCAGACTGTCTCCGCTCAATCAACACGTTTACAAAATTTCAAAGCAACAACCTTATCAAGCTTGGGGGGCATATAGAGGAGCATCCAGGGGAGGTCTCCTGTGACTTTGATGTTTCTGGCTTGCACAGGATCAGTTCTATATACTCCTGAACCTGCGCCTGCCAAAATGATTGAGGTTCAGTAATGTATAGAACGGATCCTGTGCAAGCTAGAGATCAGAGTCGCAGGGGACCCCTGGATGCTCCTCTATATGCCCCCCAAACTTGATACCTCTAGCTTGCACAGGATCCATTCTATACACTCCTGATCCTCCTCCTGTCAAAACGACAGCTGACAGGTGGTCGTTTTGACAGGCGCAGATTCAGGAGTGTATAGAGCAGGCCCTATACAAGCTAGAGACACCAAACTTGCAGGGGATCTCCATCTGATTCTACTTTACCTGCCTTCCAAGTTCTGCTAGTATTGGATTTACAGGGTCTGAGTTATGCCCTCCAAAGCCGGTGCCCCCAGGAAAGTGCTTTCCAGGGAAATTAGAATAAACCTTTTTTTGGAAGGCCGTAACTCGGACCCTGTAAATACAAGCGTCACCCAACTTGGAGGGCTGGTAGAGGAGAGTCAGACAGAGATCTCCTGTGAGTTTGGTATATCTAGGACACTGGGGAGCCATTCTACCAGGCCAAGAACCTCACAAACAGAACTAGTTCATAAGGCAGCTAAAAATTTGTGATGGTCCATGGTTCATGAATGGGGCACATCATGAACCACGGACCTCATTTTCCTGGTTTATGCCCATCTCTTCTAGCAACATAGAATTAAAGCTGATGTAGGGATCACAGATCTTCCCTACTCTTAGCAGTTTCACCTGATCACACAAAAATTGATTCCAGGAAAACTATGTTAGGATTATTAGGAAAGGGATTGAGAATAAAATGGACAATATTGTAATGTCCCTGTATAGATCTATGATGCTGCCTCATTTGGAATACTGTGTACAGTTCTGGTCACCATATCTCAAAAAGGACACTGCAGAGCTGGAAAAAGTACAGAGGAGGGCAACCGAGATCATTAGGGGGTTGGAGCACCTTCCCTATGACGAAAGGCTGAAGAGTCCAGGACTTTTCAGTTTAGAAAGGAGATGACTAAGTGGGGGTCATGACAGAGGTTTATAAAATTATGCATGGGGTGGAGAGAGCTGACAAAGAGAAATTTTTCTCCCCTCCCAAAATACTAGAACTTGAGGGCATCCAATTAAGCTGATGGGCAGTAGTTTCAGAACAGACAAAATGAAATACTACTTTACACAGAGAGTGATTAAAATGTGGAATTCAGTGCCAGAGGCTGTAGTGATGGCAACAGGAATAAACAGCTTTAAAAGGGGATTAGATAGATCCATGGAGGGAAACCTCCACATTCAAGTGGACCATTGGTCTGGTCCAGCAGGGCTCTCCTTATGTTCTTAACTGGGGGGCTGCAAGGAGGGACAAGGATGGCAAAATTGCTCTGTCCTCTTTGCATCAGTAGAACTCTGCTGACAGAAGAGTCAGAAAAGGAAAGGAACTGCAAACTCGCTTTTGAAGGGCTACAGTCTCTGTGCTCACATGCAAGGTATGTTTGGAACCCATGGGGTGGAATGAATTATAGAAGTTCAGACTAACCACACCCTTTCCCACATACAGAACAATCCACTTTTAATCTACCTTCAATACACTTTAACAATCGAATGGCCAGTTTTGGCAACTCGCTGTGCGGGTGTGCTCCATCACAGCTCTGATGTGAGTGCCCCGCAAACGTACCGATGGGGGGGGGGTCCGAGTTGATCTTGAACTCCGCCCCAGACCCCTTGTAGGGGGATCTCAGCCTGGGGTGCGAGAGGTGCCTCTCCCAAGGCGGAAGCCAAAGGTTGAGGCACTTTTTTGCCCCGATAGGCCTCCGCGGTACGGAGTCAGCATGGCACCAAGAGACGTACACTGGACAGAGTGTATAAGGATCCCGAGAAATGATTCTCTCTACATACCTAGTGAATGCAAGTACTAACATGAGCGAAGCTATGATCCAGCAAACAATCGATAAATCATTACTAGTAAAGCCGCCCCAAAGCCCCAAACAAGCGGAAGGGGGAGGGGAATGCCCGATCCCGAAATGACTGAGTTTAAAGCAAGAGGTTAAAAGGGCAGCTTGAAGGAAGTGGATTGCAATGAAGTGTGCGGCGGACCAGCAAGAAAGCGATAAATTCCAGACTTACGGAGAACTTTTAAACTTTCCTCTTGTATAAACAATGACACAGTGAGAGAAAAAATGGCGTTGAAAGCGAAACTTATAATACGAACTGCCAGCACAGCATCACCGGTCACCAGACCAGAAGTAACCACAGACTTTCCCAAACTGACTGCTGTAGCTTTGCGCCCTCTACTGGACCAGATGACCAACCTTAATGTCATGCGGGATATGTTGCAAAAAGAACTCAAAGAAATTTCAGTGAGAAAGAAATAAAGCGGATGTTCCTGAAGTAACAACAGAAAGCGGAAGATGGACCTGAGAAAGTGGAGGAGAACAAAGACACAGAAGAAGAAGAAGAAGAAGAGAAAGATGGGGAAGGCTGTGATACCATCTTGAAGAGTCTGACAAAACTATTTAATTCTGAAGCAGAACTAAAAATTAATTTGGACTTTAATAAGAAAGGAAATTGCAAAATAGCTTAACTCAGATAGCGTGTTGTCTATTTTAACGCATAACTTCAATTCTATGATATTTACACTTTAGCTAAAGAGATTGTGATTGCTTGCTTAACATTTTTGGTTAGTAATCTTCATGTTCTACTACTATGTTAACAGAGACGTATCAATAACTTTATATGTCTGTATTATGGATCCTTGTTACTCTTATTTTAGGTTTTTCCATTACCCTGACTCTGTAGTTTTGTAGATTAGAAAATAAAATTTTAAAGACAATGCACTTTAACAATAATTTGCATGTGGATTCTGTCATTTCACACAGTAAAATCCAGTTGCAAAGTGCATTGGAAGTGAATTGAAATCGCATTATTCAGTGTGTGTGTGAAAGTGCCACGTTTTCAGAGTTTAGTTCCAGGTTGATGGTCAAAACCCGAAAGCCTTCTTAATGGTCTTGTTACCAGTCTTAGAAAGCAATACCAAGCTTCAAGCAAAAAGGTACTACAGTACCGTCAAGGCCATTTTAGACACTTTTATTAATAAAAATACTTTCTAGTATCTATATTTTACTTTGGAACACTGATGGCAATATTTGCAAATATAAGTTTTTACTCGCTTTTGAAAAATGTTGCCAGTGATTGTCAGAACAAGTTGATGAAATCAGTGGAGTAACTTGGCAAAGGATTCCATTGCCGGTGTGCCTCAACATCCTGTTTCAAGGGTTGTACATATGAAGCTGCTGTGTATTGGGTCCAGATAGTTACGTATTGCCGTCTCTAACCTCTACCCAAGATCCTTTAACTGAAGATGGCTGAGATTGAAGCTGGGACCTTCTCTGGGGAAAACATGTCTTCTGCCACTAAGCTTTAGCCCTTTAGCAAGATGAGCTACTTTTAACTAGTACATAAAACAAGACTCCCTGTCGAGACCTGCAGTAGATTTTTATAGATGCATAAACTGACTGTTTAAGAGTATGCATGTAGTTATTACACTAAGACAAAGGTGTGATGTTTGTTATAGACACGCAAGCCAGCCACAGGACTTGACAGAAGTCTGGCTCACATGCTGTTGTCTCAGACATAATAGAAAAAGATATGGCCATGTGTACAGACCAAATCACTGGGACCTGAGTCAGTATGACCTGGCAAGTCTTTTTACTACACTAACTGTGTCTTCCCATATCTCATATCCTGAAGTCAAGGATGTGGATTTTCAAGAATATTTTGGACAGAGATAGATTTCCATTGCCCTTGAACTGACTGGATTGTGAGTTAGAACAAGTGCCAGACTCAGTTAGCAAACTAAATGAACACAGCACACACATAGTGGGACTGCCTTCTAAGCTTCACTATGTTCAATGGGACTTTTAGGTGAATGTGAACATGATCGCACTGTTAATGCAAGTGAGAGAGCTAGTTATATATAAGCATTTGTACTCCACTTCTCAGTGCATTTCAAAGTGAAAACAGTTTACAAAGTTTACAGGCTCAAAAACTGTTAGACTGGTGTTACAGCCATTACGTTACTAGTTTCGTGAATAAAAATTCATTTTTAGAAATTCTGCTTCTAAATCCTAAAAATGCACATAGTAATGGATAAGTTTCTATTAATACCATTGTCTTAGTATAGTAAGGCTGTACTCCTATGCACACTTAGGAGTACCATTTAACTCGATGGGATTTACTTTCCAGGTAAACATGCAAAGGATAGAAGGGGTAGTCTGAATTATCTGCTTTTAGAAACTTTACTACAGTTGTGAACATATGCAGGGCTCTGCACAAAATCTTACATCTTTAAGCTGGACTTCAATTTCATTCACATTTCTTTGTGATCCAGTGCAGCTCACACCAGTTTCCTGCAAACAAATGAGAAAAGGTCTGAACTTAATTTATTCACTGCAAGAATTATAAGTACACAGCCAGGGGGACTTGCTGCATGTAATACTAACACTTCCACTATTTTTCAACCACGCAGTACTAGAAGCCCTCAACTGTCTACATTTTAAAAAGTTGCAGTCTTCATACAATGACCTTAAGCATACTGAAGGCTGCTAGATTTTGAGTACTAAGATTCTATTCTGTGCTACTGCAGGCAAGGTCTTAGCTCATCATTGGATCCTCGAATGCTACCACAAGAGCAGGCAACATTTTTGTTTCATTTAAACAGCACTGTTGATACACCAACCAGAAATGCACCTAACAAGCCTGTCACTTTATAAATGTCACAGACAATGTTCTAGTGCCACCTGGCCCTTACAAATGGTACAGCTAGAAACCAAGCTTCCACATCTAATTGAGATTTTCCAGATGCTGTTCTTCAAAATGGGTGACATCAAAGAGGTATTTAGGAATGGCTTTGCACTACTGATGCCTGAATTTTGAGCATCAAGATCGCTGTCTGCTTTGCAGCTAGTAAAATCAGTTTTTTCCATGTTTGATCTTCAGTAGCAGTTTCCCAGTAACAGAACAAAGTTTGAGTCCGGTGGCACCTTTAAGATCAACGAAGTTTAATTCAGGCTATAACTTGACTCTAATTAGCCCGTCCTGGCAACTAACCCCCCTCTACCTATATGTAAGGCTCGAGGAAGTCTGTTTCAATGTATCTGAAGAAGTGTGCATGCACACGAAAGCTTAAACCCAGAATCAGTGTTCCTTCTAAGCTGAGTTAGTGTGAGCTAGCTCACAGTTTTTTTAGCCTCCAGCTCACACATTTTTGCCTTAGCTCGGGAAGGGATGGCTCCAGACCAAACTAATTTATGCAGTACCCAAACTGCTCGCTCACAACTTTAATGCCAGTAGCTCACAAAGTAGAATCTTTGCTCACAGGACTCCACAGCTTAGAGGGAGCATTGCCCAGAATTAAACTTTGTTGGTCTTAAAGGTGCCACTGGACTCAAACTTTGTTCTGTTGCTTCAAACCAACATGGCTACCCACCTGTACCTAGTTTCCAAGTAAAACACTGGAAGCTATAAGAAAACATTAAGAAACTAATTGACACATCCCTTTCATGGAAACCACATTTGGATTTGGCAAAGATTAATGCCCTGAGAACTGGGAGGACAATTGTAAAATATTATACAGCAGGTGGTGAACTTGTCACCTCGGCTATAAAGTTACATAATGCTAAAATAACAAATCAGTACTTATATGGTACGGAAATTTGGATGGACTGGATTCTCTGAGAGAATATATTCTATTCAATATGATTTTTTCCGACGCATATTGGCTAACCCCAGATGTGTTTCGGGTATAACAATGAGAGCTGAATTGGGCGAATCATTGATAGAGGCTAAGGCATGGATTAAAGCATTTCTTCTGAAAGCTGACCTTAAAATCTGAGGGAGGGTCTACCCTCCTTGGACTTTCACAAGCAGATGCATATAATAACCAATGGGATCAACTACTGGAAAAGAAAATGAAATCTCTAGGTATAACAAATGATATGGTGAAGATCATGGAGACAAAAGAAATAATTAGGCTTATTAAACTGTGCATTAAGAAATTGGATATTAATAGCACATCTGTCAGGGCTCGCAGGGTATTACCCTCCCGATGTGACTGTTGAAGTACTTTTATCAGTTGATAATACCAAAGCTCAGAAGAGCTTTTACTTTGGCCAGAATGAATTTTCTTCCGTCAGTGCTCCTGAAGGGCAGATATAAAAAAGTGCGAAATAGAATATGTAGATATTCATCAGATAAAGTTGAAACTATTGAGCATTTGATTACGGAGTGTCCTATATTTAATGAGTTGAGGGCCAGTTTAATTAGTCCTTTACTCCAAATGATGGAAAAGTCTAACAAGTCACCTGATAGTATGAGGGCACAGGTGACGTGGTTATTATCAGATACAAATGATTCTGTTACTCTATCTGTGGCAAAAATTTTATGGGAAATAATTAAACAATAATTATTTTCTGTTCAAGGCTATAGCTATATAGGGAGCTGTGGTGGCTCCAGTAGTTAAGACACTGAACTGCAGGCTGTGGAAGGTCGGTAGTTCAGCAGTTCGAGACCCGAGTGCCGCATGACGGAGTGAGCTCCCTTCTCTAGTTCCAGCTCCTGCCAACCTAGCAGTTCGAAAGCAAGAAATTGCAAGTAGATAAATAGGTACCACTTCGGCGGGAAGGTAACAGTGTTCCGTGCGCCTTGGTGTTCAGTCATGCCGGCCACATGACCACGGAAACGTCTTCGGACAGCGTTGGTCTTTGGCTTTGAAACGGAGATGAGCACCGCAACCCTAGAGTCGGATTCGACTGGCTTTCGAGCAAGGGAACCTTTACCTTTATAGCTGTATAAGCAGTGCTAGACAGACAGATGAAACCAATTATGATATAAACTCAGTCGCTGTGGAGCAAGCCAAAAAAAATTAAATAACTAGGAAGACATATTTAGGGGATCCAACAGAGTATTTTCTGCCACACAGAATACCACTTTACTACATTTCAGAATGCCCGGTCATTGCCATAAGCATTTCAGTACATAGAAAAGATTCTTAATAACATCAATATCTAGCTACACTACTATCTGCAGCTAAAAATACAGTGGAGAAACACACACACACCCCTTCCACACATACATCTCTACTCATTCCACTGGGAGAAAGTCAGTATGGTATAGTGGGAATAGTGGGTAGGTTGTATTCCCCTAGGACTGGTTGTTTTAAGGGAAATACAACCTACCTGCTCCTGGATCTGTTTATCCTCAAAATCCCAACACTTCTGTTTTGCCTGGATTAAGTTTCAGTTTGTTCATTCTCATTGCCCTTAACTGTCTTCCAGATGCCAGTTAAGTGTACACCTGGAGGTGGTCATTGTGAAAGCCAGGAGCACTCCCAGAGTGTAAGCTTGACTGGAGACTGTGCATGTGTGTATTAAGTGTCATCAGGTTGCTTCTGACTTAGTGACCCAGGACTGGAGAAACCTGGGTTCAGATCCACACATGACTATGAAGATCACCAGCTGGCCTTGTATCTTTCACACTCTGAGCCTGATCTACCTCCCAAGGTAGGATAAACTGGCTTAATTTTTGAAGCTAGCTCTGCTCCTGCAGAGCAGTACAGTTTAGGAATCACGTAAGGGCAGCCAGTCCTCCTATACTAATAACTGGAACAGGACAATCATCTCAAATGCACCACAGGATTATGGTAAAAGACAATGAAATTCAATACATAGCCTGACCCATTTAGTATGCAAATACCATCCCCTTTGTATAAGTAGAGGACATCAAACTACAGCATGATTTGCACTACAGGCAGCTTCACAGTGCAGCCTCCGCACAGCCCACCTTCCCAGTAAGCACTCCTGTTCTCCACAAATCCTCTGAATCCCAAGCCAACTATACCTCTGGCTAATTCTGAGTAGTGATGGCACTGAACCTTCGAATGGGACCGCAGGAAGAAGAACCCAGTGATTCCAAATCAGGCCCAGTTCCCTGAAGTTAGGCCGCAATTTAAAAAGCACTCTATTCAGATCTACCACCAAGTCTCTCTTTTTCTATATTAACCCTTACAGTGAATGGGAAAAGCTGCATTCATTCATGAAATGATGGGGGTGGGGAGCTGGTGAGGCCACAGATAGCCAGAGGTGAGGCCCCATTCAAATAATCTCACCTTTAAAGTTGCTCTGAACCCATTTCAGATTAAGCCTGTGAAGGCTCCCCTACCACTTCTTATGAGCAGCACTGGTTCAGTGGGAAGGGGAAGAGATTGTCTACATGTGGAAACTTGCATGATTATGTTAACTACAGGAAAACGTACCTGGGAATCTTGAACAGTTCCAGCACTGTTTTCAGGCTCTGAACACTTTGTAGCTAACTCGTTTTTCAGGCAGTCTACCTCTTCCGAGAGAGAAGTGAACAGCTGTTCTCTCTTTGCCACTTCCTTTGTATTCTTTTCCAGTTGGTTCCATAGGCTGTCAAGATCTCCATTTTTGCTTCTTTTCTTCAGCTCGGCTTTTATGTGCTGGATTTCTTTATTTTTCTCTCCCAAGATGCCCTTGTATTTTTCATTTTCCGTTTCAAGGGCAAGTATTTTCTATGTGAAATGCAAGCAGATATTTGAGTAAAGAAACCGGATTAACAACTTTGAAATGTCATATTCCTATGTGGACAGGCAAATCATACTGGCAGCTATTAACAGATCAATAATAGTGGACACGTTGCACTTTCTGCATCAGGAACTAACAAGTGTTCACTGTTCAATTAATCCCTTCCTATTGCTCTTAAGAGCCTCAAATTGGAGGCTGGATGGCACTATCTGGCATCCTGATGAATTATATGGAAGAGTGCACTAGAACAAGATACCCTATTAATGGGAATAAAAGTAACAAGGAAATTAAGCTTGTTTTGCTACCTTGAGGTATATAGCAGATTTAAGAGTATATGTGAGCTGTCATGGGGAGAGTGACTTCATGAGAGATGCCACTTCTTTATCCATTACAATGATATTGTCTCCAAATGAATAGACGCTGATGGGGTCCGAACTGGCAGAGACTGACCAAGAGAGTGGGAGTCATAATATCACTGAATGTCGCGACAGTGTGCGATTGCAATAAAAAAGGCCAACACTATGCTTGGGATTATTAGGAAGGGAACTGAAAACAAATCAGCCAGTATCATAATGCCCTTCTATAAATCGATGGTGCAATCTCATTTGGAGTACTGTGACAGTTCTGGTCACCACACTTCAGAAAGGATATTATAGCATTGGAAGAAGTGCAGAAAAGGGCAACTAGAATGATAAAAGGGTTGGAACACTTTCCCTATGAAGAAAAGCTAAAATGCTTGGGGCTCTTTAGCTTGAAGAAACGATGGCTGAAGGGTGACATGATTGAGGTTTATAAGATTATGGAAATTGTTGAGCAGTTGGGATAAAAGGAAGTACTTCTTCACCCAAAGAGTGATTAACACATGGAATTCACTGCCACAGGAGGTGGTGGCGGCTACATACATGAACGCCTTAAAGAGGGAATTAGATAAGCATATGGAGCAGAGGTCCATCAGTGGTTATTAGCCACAAGGTATAGACAGGAACTCTCAGGCTGGGGCAAGTGATGCACTGTATTCTTGGTGCTGGGGGGGGGGCAAAAGTGGCACCAGTGATGGACCTCCTGATGGCACATGGTATTTTTGGCCACTGTGTGACAGAGTGTTGGACTAGATGGGCCATTGGCCTTATCCAACATTGGTTTCTCTTGTGTTCTTAAAGCAAAAGACAAGCAGTGGCAAGTTAAAAAACGAACATTTATTTCAGCATAAGCTTTCATAAATCACCACTCACTTCCTCAAACCAATCAAATCAAATCAAGCATCCTCTTATGGGCAGGTTACGGGATGGTCAAGGCAGACAATTAATTCCATCATTAATATTTGAAAGACTAATGCTCCAGAGTTCACTTATAGATCTTGTATGACTCAACATTCCCATTCAACTGAAGGAGCAGCTCTGTGCCCCTATCGCATTGCCTATCAAGGGCTCCAAGGAAAGCCTTGGAGAGAGAAGCCACCTTTAAAAGCAATTTCTGAGTGAACCCGTGTGAACAAGCATTCGAGTTTTAAATTTAAAAGGCAGCACAAAACCACTCAATTTGTCAAAGTTTAAGTCACCTCTTACAATAGCTAGCAGGTAAAGAATGAAACAATTTTAAGTTAACATCACCTCCAAAAGCCTTTTTCTTTCTTCAGGTGTCATTTTGCTTTTGCCCTTAATGATTTCTTCCAAAGATTTTTTCAGGGCTGCATTCTCCTTTTTATATATCTGCAGCTCGGTTTCAGATTTGGAATCTCCGGACTTTAGCCTCCACTTGCTGACATTTATCTCGCTGGTGACTTTGGATGTCATCTTTAGGCTTTCTAGAAAACCATCAAGAGTTCGCTGCTTATGACTGGATATGAAAACAGCAAGAAAACACAGTAACAAACCATCAAGAACTGTTGAACATGGAGCCTCTTCATCAGTGTAGTAAGAAAAAGACACAAGTGGCATTACTCACACCGGTCAGCAGACAAGATATGGGACTCAGGCCTCCCTCACAGACTGATTCTGTTCACACTTAATCAGAAGCAAGCCTTTCGAAGTTCAGTCACACTTACTCCCAAGGCAGGATACACAGAGGACCAGAGCCTCAGTCCAGCTCCAGCCCACAAACAGATCAAAGAATAGCACACAACTCCCCCTTGCAAAGCCAAGAGAACAATCCAGTTGGAGAAGGCAGTGTTCTTTCTAGCAACTAAGCAGCAAAGAGAGCAATCCTAAATAGGTCTACTCCTAAATAGAATCCTACTCAGGTATATTCAGTGGGGCTTACTCCCAAGAAAGTGTTCTTAAGATTGCACTGAAAATTAAGCTAACTTGGGACTAGACAGCCACATTGCAGAAATAATTCTGAAGCATTTAGGAGGCCTGTTGCAGTGAAGTGTCACAAAACATGCAGTTTGTCGAACACCACTACATAAGTGGAACTTGAGTAAAAATGTAGCTCCTTCCACTATACTGTCACGTAAAGCTAGGAAGATGGCTGGAAGAAGAAACAGGAATGAGGCTTCATAAAGTTTGGTAAAAGGGTGGTGGTGGGGATTACTAACAGAACTTTAAGCTCCCCGAGGTCTACCTGTCAACTAAGGAGGAGGAGGCAGAGACAAAGTGGTTTATGTGACTGTCTGAAATCCTGCACTAAGTACTTTAAGCCAGGTACAGAGAACAGAAAGGAGCCAGAAAAATCTATCTGACCTTACGTTAACGTGACTGAGAATCTCTGGTGGATTTTGCAGCGGATAGGTATAAGGGAGGAACAGAGATGATGCAGCAAAATCATAGAAGCCGAATGCTGCAGGACTACCCTTTGAACACCACTGTTCGGGATAATGCTGGAGGACCTTGGCAAAAGAGATGCATTGCCCGTACAATGACAGCTGTTTTGACTGTGCCCAGTGCATTCTCGCTGACTTCTCCTCCAGCTACGTACAGTTAGCAGAAAGCTGATGTTGTGTCCTGACCTAGCCATGTGCTCAACCCAGTTTCAGCCGGTTCCACATGCGGACCGGTGAAGCACCTGAGCTTCGCTCCTGAACACAGTAGACGTTGGGATCCTAGTTCCCAGCCAATCGGGAACCCAGGGTCCCCAGGAGTAATCTAATCAGTGTAAATAGACCATTCACATGTGTGTGGGTGTGTTTTCCTTGGGGGCTGGGAGCTGGCTACTTTGTCTTGTTCTTCCCTGAATAAAGTATGAGAGCTGAATTCACTAAGTCTCAGTACTTTTCAGCGCGATAAGTCCCCAGATCCCTACTTGCTGAAGTTTTCAAATAACTAGGTGCTTTCGGACCTCTGAACAGAGATGGGAAGCTGCCATGCTCTGGGAGCGCCCAGACCTGATCCGTGCGAGGACAGGGGGCTTCACACCCGAAACGGCCCCGTTGGCGCGCCCGACAATTGAGGTCCGAGCACGGAAAGCCCAGCGTGCGTCTGATGGAAAGGCGGCAACTTCTTACCCGCTACCTCAGCCAGCGTCTCGGACCTCCGGAATCTGGAAGGGGCCGGTAAGGAGGACTCGGTGGACTCAGCCCGCCCGGGAGAGAGTCTACAGAGACCCCAGTTGACAAAGCGCTCGCAAGAGTGTCACCGCACCCCACTCCAAGCCAACGCCTCTTGAAGGCTGCTTCCGGGAGTTTGAATGCCGCGGCACCTCTTGACGCCATTTCCGTTTCGTTGCTGGGCGACGAGGCGGCCGCTCCCGCGAAGCCCAGGCATCAAGAGGAGGCGGAGCCGGAAGGGGGGACTCGGCGGGGAGACCCGGAGGAATAGAACGAGAGCCGAGGAGGGGGAGAAAGCTGAGCTTAGTTTAGCTTCAAGTGGGGTAGCTGTGTTGGTCAGAAGCAGCAGAACAAAGTCCAGTGGCAACTTCAAGACCGGAAAAGTTTTATTCAAAGTGTAAGCTTTCGTGTGCAAAGTACACTTCTTCAGATTCAGGATTTTATTCCAGTTTTGTCTGAAGAAGTGTGTTTTTGCGCACGAAAGCTTACACTTTGAATAAAACTTCGTTGGTCTCAGAGGTGTCCCTGGACTCAAACTTTAGTTCCGTTAGACTTCCGCTACTGGAGTGTCTTTTTGGTCTACCCCCGGGTCCGCTCCAAGCGGGAAGGTGTATTTTCCAGAAGGAGTCTTCGCGGGCGGAATGGTGTCCAGCTGAGCGAATTAACACAGGCAAACCTGTCTAAGTGAGGGTTGCCCACTTCCAGGTGGTGACTGGAGATCTCTTGGAATTGTAGCTGATCTCTAGGCAACAGATCCCCTGAAGGAAATGTCACCTTTGGAGGTGTACACAACAGGAGGGTAGGCTGTATGGAATCATATCACTGCTGAACTTCCCCTCCTCTCCAAATTCTGCCTTCCCCAGGTATGACGGACCCGGGTTTTTAGTGTCTTAAACCGTTTTTAAATCATCTTTGTCATAAATTTACTATGTTGTACACCGCCCTGATCCCCGCCCTAGCAGGGGGAAACCGGTCTAAAATCTAATGAAATAAATAAATAAACTCACAGGCAGATTTTCCCACCAAAACCTTTTGGTTCCCCTCCGTGACTGAGTCCTCCCCCCTCCCCCAGTAGTGTGTATCCCTTTTCTTTGAGCCAGTTTGGTGTAGTCCCGGAGGGAGATATATAGACATACAGATCAGGGAAGTCAAGGATTAGAAACTTTGAGATAAAACTTCTTCCTATGTACAGAACTGAAATCTTAAAACATACAAGAGAGCGTTGTTGTGGCTTCTTTTCAGAGGTTTCTAGTTCTTTTCACTGAGAGGTACCTGGGATCTCAAAGCCCATTCCCTTCTTGCCAAATCTCTTTTACACAGACAACAGGTACTGGAAGAGAGATTTGGCTAGAAGGGAATGGGCTGTTAAGCAGTAACTCCCAGTAAAGCCAAAAAGTAAAGGGTTATTGCTTCTTGGAAAAAAGGAAGAATAATTCCAGTAAAAAGGGGTTGTGTAGTAAAGGGGAATAAGCTTTAGACGTTTCAAGAATTAGTGGAAAGCTGTAGTTTTCTAAGGGGAGAAATCTAGAAACCCCATGAAAGAGCAATTCTCCAGGGAACACTATTATGATCTTGTGTTATTGCTGAAGTATACTAAGAAAAAGTACCTCAGAGTTTGAAAACAAGACAGCTCCCGCATTTCCCACAGGTTCCTCTGCTGAGTCCTTAGCCTCAACAAATATCTGCTGAGTCCTTAGCCTCAAGAAGGAGGAGGAAGAGATTAGATTTATACCCTGCCCTTCACTCAGAATTTCAGAGTGGCTTACAAACTCCTTTCCCTTCCCCTCCCCACAACAGACACCCTGTGAAGTAGGTGGGGCTGAGAGAGCTCTTTCGAGAACTGCTCCTGGGAGAACAGCTCAGAGAACTTGTGGCTCACCCAAGGTCAAATCAGCAGCTGCATGTGAAGGAGTGGGGAATTAAACCCGGTTCTCCCAGATTAGAGTCTGCGCACTTAACAACTACACCAAACTGGTTCATCTGCTGCTAGGTGGTGGGTGGGAGGGAGCTTCCAGGGAGTGGTGGGTGCTGTCTCTGTGTGCGACATCCCTGGTGTGATAACACCGCGCAGAAGTGATGTGACTATGGGGACATCGTGCCCAGCCATGAGTGTTGAGGGTGGGACTTCCCCCTCTGGCTAGCTGGCTGGCAACGGCCTGGAGCCCCTCAAATTGGGGGATCCCCTGCTCCCACCTGGGGACTGGCAACCCTAGTACGGATGCCGGAAAATAAGACCAACCCAAACCATTTTGCTGCCTGAAAATTCCAACAGCATCACTCCACACTGGGGATTATAGGGCTGTCAACCTCTAGGTGGGCCTGGAGATCTACCAGCATTACAGCTGATGTCCAGATGACAGAGAGTAGTTCCCTTGGAGAAAATGGCTGCTTGGGAAGGTGCACTCTATGTTTGGTATAGTGGTTAAGTGTGCGGACTCTAATCTGGGAGAACTGGGTTTGATTCCCCACTCCTCCACTTGCAGCTGCTGGATGACCTTAGGCAAACCATAGTTCTGTCAGAGGTGTTCTTGAAAAGAGCAGTTTCTGTCAGAGCTCTCTCAGCCACACCTACCTCACAGGGTGTCTGTTGTGGGGAGGGGAGGGGAAGGGGTTTATAAATTGCTCTGAGACTCTGAGTGAAGGGTGGGGTATAAATCCCATCTCCTCCTTCTCCTCCTCCTCTTCTTTGCAACGGGGTCCTTCCCCTCCCCAAAATGTGCCCTTCCCAGCTCCAGCCGCAAATCTCCAGGAGTTTCCCAACCTGGAGTTGGCAACCCTACATGATGGGGAAGGAGGCTTGCCACTCTTAATGAGGTCCCAAGTCACCTTTATACAGTGCCAAGCTGACTTTGTTTTACCTTCTGAGAGCAATGTCCATCCAGTGGGCTTCTGTGGTCATTTCTAATGTGCTTGTGGACCCACCTTACTACCAGGAGTTTTGTCATTCTTTTCAAGAGCACGTGTGCGCGTGGCTTTATTTTGTACCACTGTTCATTTCATGGTTGAAAATAGAGACATAGTCCTCCTTACGATGGTTCACTTAGCATCCCCCTTCTTTCTATGAATTGTTGGAGACATTTCACTACCTGTTGTATGTTGTTGCTGACGTATTGCTTTGATAGCCCTGGCATATGTGAACTTAAAAAGCCAGCCATTTGGTGGTTTATTTGATTAAAGGTATGTTAGAAATACTTCTGTGTTCTGTTATATGTTTTCAACAGTTCATACTGCAGCAGATGCAGTGTGTGAAATCGCAGACTAGTGCACAGTGCATTAGTAACCATCTGCATGCATTTACGTACAGGTGAAATGAAGATAAGATGTATCCGTCCACCAATTCTGAGATTTATCGTATAAGAGAGAACTCCCAACAAGATTAACATCTCAGACTGACCTCAGTGTCTTGCGATGAATTTCAAACATCAGATATTAGTGGCTTTGAATGGCATGGCTTTTTTCACAAGTAGGGACTCACTGGTTAAACAGTTTTTCTATAATTTATTTTTTTTGCATAAAACCAACACTGGCTACAGAAAATATACATACAGTATTCAAGATTTATTCAGAAGGCTGTTTTTGAACTCTACAGAAGAGGGCGATCTAAGACTTTTGGCTAAGTGAATTCAGGCATGAAAGAGAAATGATCTGTAAAAACTGATGACACATGGAAGAAACTGAATGAAAAAGCAGAATATCATTTTACTGCAAAAAGAAAAACCATGTGCTAACGTCATTACATAAGCCTACTGAAGAAATGAAAAGATGTTATGTACTTTAGTAGAAATTAAGATCCGCATTTTATGCATAATTACCTTTTCTGTTGTCTGAACAAGGAAGGATTTATTCCCCCTTTGATCTTTTTAGTTTGCAGTGTACCCAGCAGAATTCACAAGTTTATGCCAGTTTTGTCTAATGCCATGGAAACTGTGGGTGTCAGTTTACAGATCCCTTTTTTTTTTTGGCCAGCTTTAGTAACTAACTCGTCATAGATCCACCCATCAGTTACATTTCACCATAACAGAGCCATTCCCTGCCTCCTCCTCCTGGCAGTTCAGCCTGGAGGCTGCAGAGACCAAGAAGTACACAGACTTTGTTAAGTTTCTTTTCTGAAAACAGTGCTGCCTTAAACCCACTGAAAACAATGCTTCGGGTAATTGTGGAATCTGCTGCAAATATCCCTAAAAACAAGTTTGGGAAACCAGATCCAATTGTTTCAGTAATTTTTAAAGGTAAGAAAAAAATAACTTGTGCAATAAGATCTTAGAAATGGCATTTTAATCTCAGTAGCATGGTCAGAAAGTATGACAGCTGTCATAACTATGTGTGCCATGATCATATGCAGCAGGATTAGGGTGAATTCTGAAGAAATAAGACTATAAAATAGCGTTATTAAAAGGGTGGGAAATGATGGGGGTATGGCATTTGCAGGCGGTGCTGTTTCAGAACTGTCTCATCTCCTATGTTGGCTTGTGTTACTTGCAACTACATATATATCTGCAACTGAACTGCATCTTTGCTTATAAGTGATTCTTCTGCAACAGCAGACGATAAATTGGATACTAGTCATTTTGTTGGTATTTTATCTTCAAAAACAAAGGCAGGCCTTTTGTGAGGGGTAATGCTTTTACTGTTTGCCTTAAAGTCTTGTTCAGTTTTATAAACATTTTAAATACTATCACATTATTGGACACTTTTTTCTATAGGAGGGTGTTTTGTTTTGTTTTTGCTTTTGGGACACAAGGTTTGTGTCTGGCAAATTAATAACCAAAATGTGAAGGTGAGACAGCCTGTAAATACATTTTCCTATACATGTGACTCTTCCTTTCATTTTGACACACATGGTACAGTGGATTTTAGTCTGGCTTGCTTCCTTTCACCACAGTTCTAACAAGATCTGGTTGTAGTGTTACAACTTGTAAGGGATGGAAGTTTCCCACCATGTACCTAACTAATAATGCAGTCTTATGTAGTAGTTCCATAGGCTATGCTCATTTACTTCAATGGGATTTGACTGGCATAACTCTGCATAGGATTGCACTGTAATAAATCAAATTGGACTATGCCAGATCTTTGGAGATACTGTTCTTGAGAGTATC